ACCAGGGGAAGCAATGGATTGGCTCAGCTGGTGCCCCTGTACGGTCCTGACCTCACTGCTTCCCTACTGCCTGACTCTTGCACCATCCTGGTAAGTGGGAGTAATGCCAGAGTCGGGAGGGCAGCTCTGTAGCATCAAACCATGACACTGGCTGCTCCTGAAAATGGATCATGATTCTCATAAGAGAGTGAACAATCCACTCCATTTCCCCCCTTTACTCCGGCAGGTGTGTGTGTGAAGGGGAGGGGGGTTGTTGCCTCTTAAACAACTGGAAATGAGGTTGTTCCCCCCCTTAAATCTACCTAAGGTGACCACTTACACACTTAGGGTGGACACATGGGAAAAAGGGGAATGCATCACCAAAACAAAAAGGCAGTGCAGAATATGTTTTTGATTATCATAGAATCATAGAGTTGGAAGAGACCACAAGGGCCATCGAGTCCAACCCCCTGCCAAGCAGGAAACACCATCAGAGCACTCCTGACATATGGTTGTCAAGCCTCTGCTTAAAGACCTCCAAAGAAGGAGACTCCACCACACTCCTTGGCAGCAAATTCCACTGTCGAACAGCGCTTACTGTCAGGAAGTTCTTCCTAATGTTTAGGTGGAATCTTCTTTCTCGTAGTTTGGATCCATTGCTCCGTGTCCGCTTCTCTGGAGCAGCAGAAAACAACCTTTCTCCCTCCTCTATGTGACATCCTTTGCACATGCCAATTTAAAGGTATATATACAGGCACAGAACTACTGCTATAATTTAAATAGAAACAAAAGGCCCCTCACCCTAGAGGGGAAGACTGTGACCAGGCAAGCTGCTCAACCTGCTTATCTGGTGCTAACCAGCAGTTAAGACAAACTTCAAGGCCCCTCTAGCAATCCCATCTTGGAGTTCCTTATCTCCAAACCGGAGAGCCCTTCAAGCAAAAGACTCATTCAAACAGAGAATGCTCTCTGCACAGCGGGACACATGGGCACCTTGGAACTACTGCAACTCATCCAGAAACCTGCCAGCAGATCCTGATCTATCTTCTTGCCTCCAACTCAAGGTATATCCTGATAGATTTGGACATATTTTCTAAGTAAGGAAACGGGCAACTGAACTTCAATATTTTTACACTGTAAACCAACCTGTGATCTTTGGATGAGTGGTGGTATATAAATTGAATAAATAATAAGAATATTGGTGGCCCAGACCAATATTAATTAGCAACAGATCAGCGCTGCTATCTCCATCTGTCAAGGGGAAATGTCAAATTTTCCATGTGTCTTTACTCCCCCAAAAGCACCAGGCATATGTCTCTAGCTCTTACCACTGATCCTTAAGCGGTTGGCGTTGATGCTCCCATATGGGCTGACCTCGGCTCTGATGCAGGCAAACCTGTTGAAGAGAGAGGAGAGAAGGATATTAATGAAATAGATGCTTGTTTTCAAACTTCAGGCACACATGGGAAGTGTGGCTTGTCAATGGCTGGAAGGAAGTTTAATGATGAAACCAGGGCTGTCTTAAGCATATGCGACGCCGGGGTGCAAAGATCCGCCTGCCCCCCCCAGTTGCCTAGTCCTACGCATGCAGGAAGGCGGAGCCAGCCGGCCGTCTCAGCGTCTCGCTGGCTCGGTCGCCGCAGAGCTGCCCGCAGCAAAAGAGCCCGCCATGGCGCTCCGACCGACGGGCAGGCTCTTCCTTGGACTCAACTCTCAGGCCCTGGACTCTCAGCCTGGTGCCCCTAAGAGCCCGGCTCCCGGGTGCCCCGCACCCCTGGTGCCTATGGGTAAGACGGCCCTGGATGAAACCACTAAAAGAGGGAAAGGAACACCCACAACAAGCACATGCCAACTACAGAAACTGGCTACTGATTTCCCACAGAGTATTTTGATTTGAGGCACTGTGCCCTGATGCATGCAGTCACCACCACTCAACCAGAAAGGAACAACAGAGCACGGCATGGTTAGTTTTAATAAAGAGCATTAAAAGATATATACAAAAAAATTAAAGGTCAGCACAGAGAAGGACAATAAAGTACCAATTATTTCATTAAGATCCCCAAGATGCCTCCAAGTTCAGAGAAATTTCATTCCTCTCAGTTCTCCTTCGGGAATCTTTCTTCAAATATCAGAAAACAAGGACAAAGATCTGGCATTTTGCATCTTTAAAAATAAAAACAAGGAGCATGCACTAAGCCACATGCGCATTCTAATAAAAGGATGTTTTGACATAAATAATTATGATCGTATTATGTGGGGCCTACAAACAGGCTGAGAGATGTTGCTGCTCATGCAACCAAGGTCGTACCCGCACCACTTTTAAAGCACTCTTACACCACTTTAATAGTCATGGTTCCCTCCCGAGATAACCTTGGGAAAGGCACTTGGTTCAGGGTGTGGAGAGCTGTTAGGAAAGCCCTCACAGAGCTCCAGTTTCCAGCACCCTTAATGAACAAAAGTTCCCAGCATTCTTTGGGGGAAGAGCATTCTGTGGATGTGAGACGGGTTCTCTGGGCATTTCACATAAACAATAAAACACAATTCACAATAAAAGCGAACATGAAATAAACCACAAAAGCAAAAACCCCAGCAACTCACCCACCCTCCCCAGCTAAAATCAGCATAAATCCCTGCAGCTAAAAGGGTAAAACCACCATGAAGCTGAGCAAGGGGACAACGGTGCAAAAAACCCGACGCAACCAGTGGATTCTAATACAAAGAGCAGTAGTTCTCTTCACCTGCTGCCTAAACAGGGTGCCACCACTCAAAAGGCCTTCTCCTTAGGAGTAGTCCACCTCACTTTATTAGGTGGGGGAACCTAAGACGGGCCTCCAAAGAAGATATCAAGATTCAGGCATGTGTGTATGGGGCAAAGTGGGCCTTCATGAAACACAATTATCCTTCAACATTCTCTGAATTTGCCAGGCCGTTATCCAACCAAACAACACATACAAAAATGCATACAGTGGTACCTCGCAAGACGAATGCCTCGCAAGACGAAAAACTCGCAAGACGAAAGAGTTTTTTGTTTTTTGAGTTGCTTCGCAAGACGAATTTCCCTATGGGCTATCTTCGCAAGACGAAAAACGAAAACGTCTTGCAAGTTTGTTTCCTTTTTCTTAAAACCGTTAATACCCAGGGTGACTTCGAGGAGCAACTCATAGCAGGCAGTGTGGTGGCCGTTTTTGAGGTTTTTGAAGACTTTGGTGATTTTGAAGACTTTGGGAAACCGTGCTTCGCAAGACGAAAAATTCGCAAGACGAAAAATCTCGCAGAACGAATTAATTTCGTCTTGCGAGGCACCACTGTATATTGAGGGGAAATGGGCACAAATATGCATACATTAGTGAAAATAGCCTCATCTGCACTATGAATCGAAAGCTATAGCACAACACTGCGGGAGGCAGTGGAAGACAGGAGTGCCTGGCATGCTCTGGTCCATGGGGTCACAAAGAGTCGGACGCTACTAAACGACTAAACAACAACATAGCATAACAACTTTAAATAGTCAGGACTTCCCCAAAAGAATCCTGGGATCAAAAGTTTATTAAGGGTGCTGAGCTGTTATTCCCCCACCCCCAAATTAGAAAACGATTACTCTTAGAAAAGCTTCTACTGATAGAATACAGTTGTTTACTGTTATTCAGAGCGCAAGTCTTAGAGGCACAGACCTGCCTTTGGGTATGAGTGAGAGTGAATACATCACTGGTTTATTTCTGCTTCAATTCCAAGGTTACCTGAGTTGTTATCTCGTCAGCTGTGCTTTGTTTTACAAAATGATTGGTTAGGATTTTGGAAGTGTTACTCATTCAATTGTATAACGTGATTTTTAAAAATATTGGATTTTAATGTCAATGTTTGTACAGTGGAACCTCATGTTATGGACAGAATCCAATCCGGAGGCTTGTCCGTAACATGGAACTGATGGAAGCCGAAGTGCCACGTCTGCGCAAGGCGCGATTTAGCACTTCTGCACATGTGCGAAGCACAATTTAGTGCTTCTGCCCATGCACGAGCAGCGAAACCTGGAAGTAACCCATTCTGGTACTTCCGGGTTGCCACAAGATGCAACACGAAAACACATAACTTGAAGCAGACGCAACATGAGGTATGACTGTACTGTATTTGATTTTTATTCTGTATACTGTTCTGAAATTATTAATTTTGTTGTCTTTGAGTTTAGTTTGGTATATTGCTAGCTCTGTTTTGTACTGTATTTGACCTGCGCTTTGTAGGTTGCTTTGAGATCCCTTTGTACTGCGTTTTATTTTTATATTGTATATTGATTTGAGTTTTTGTTTCTTTGATAATCGATCTTTGTATTGTATGTAGTTTTGATATTCTTTCGTATAGTACTTGTCCTCTGCTTTGTGCAATGTTCTGAAACTCTGTTATACTGTATTTGATTTTGATTTTCTGTACATTGCTTTGAGAGTCTTTTGAATATAAAGCAGTTAAGAAATTCACTAAATTTTACACCCAAACCCCTTTTTATCTCCCTTGATTTCAAAAATGCCTTCATGTTATCATAGCTTTTTTTAAAAACCACCTGCAAAAATAGGGGGCAACCTTATGTATGCTACAATAGGGGCAAGAGTCTTGTTAACAAGCACAAGGATGGAAGAATGAGGAAATCCCAATAAAAGAACAGTGGCAAGAAAAATTGACGAGCTACGCGGAATTGGCCAAATTGACATACAAACTGCGTGATAAGGACAATCGTGACTTCAAGGAAGAATGGGAACTTTTAACAAATTACTTTAAAAGGCAACAAAATGATCTGGACTCCTTGGCGGGTTTTGAATAAACATCCACAAATTTATTAGTTGAACACGATAGATAAGGCAAGAGAACAATATGTGCAAAGAAATCAGAGAGGGGAGCTGAGGGAAGTCCTTGGTGGGTGGGGAGGGAGGGGTGGGGGGAAAGGAGGGAAATAATGTAGTTGATTATTTGGGGTGATAATTTGTTATGCTGAAATTGTTTAATAAAAATATCTGTTAAAAAACAAAACAAAAATGGGGGCAACCATAATAGCTCAGTGGTAGAGCACCTGCCTTGCAAGCAGAAGTTTGCAGGTTCATTTTCTGGTATCTCCAGACTTGGAACCCTAGAGATCCACTGACTCATGCTCACGCAGACACAGAAAGAAATTAATACCTTTTTTAAAAAATAAAATGAAAGCAATATTATATGTGTGCTCTCAAAATCTGATATGACAAGAGCAGAGATGAGCTGCACAATCACAGTAAGAGAACTCTGCAATTTAAAACTTTTATGCGTCAGGGTGGTCGGGGAGTGAACTATGTTTAACATTGGATTGCTTTTAATGCTGTAATATACATAGCAGCTTCGAGGGCTCTGCTATCAAGAAGACATACCTACAAGTGTAGAGGGTCATGTAAATCTCTGCAGGATCTGGTACGACGATGAGAGCCCTCCAACGAACAGCAATTTAAGCAAATGAACAAGGAGCTGCGGTCTGGTTTCATCAGCAGAGTGGTGTATCTTGCCAGGGAACGGCATAGGAAGAGGAGGCAGCCGCCAGGGAACATTTTTGTGGACGAGTTCATCTTCATGCTCAAAAGGCAGCAATATGGCCCACCAGTACAATTAGTGTTCCAGTGATCCGAATCAACTTCTGCATCTCTGGAGATAACAGTTGACTCATCCCAGGCAAAATGTGGGGCAAGTGAATTCACTTGCTTTACTTTGTCGTTGTAAGACATATGTTGAAACAGATTCAGCGCCAGTCCTGCTCAGAGGAGACTCATTGAAGTGAATGGATATGACAAGCTTGAGTTCATTACATGTATAAGTCGGTCTGCTCTATTCTGGGTAGGATTTAGCTGGAAAAAACCCCATTGTCCCTTTAGGAGATTCTTTTCAACTCTGAGTATGCAGCTAGAGTAGATGTTAGCCTCCAATTGTCTGCAGAGTCTGACTCTCATCAGCCCAGCATGGCCAATGGTCACCAGGACAGCTGTAGTCCAACAACACTGGAGGGGTACAGGTTAGCCACCACAATCTACATTGCATTACTAAGGGTTTTTATTGTTCTGGGGAAAGGGATTAAATAGTTCAAAGGATTTGTACCCCTGCACAAAGAGAATAATATATTTGCTTGCTGTTTTTTAAAAGTTATAGTTTGCTGAATTTCCAAAGATTTAACATATACTTTCAATATATAGTAAGTTTTTCTTTTGTTTTTGTCGACTTCCGACCCAATTTTCCATTGTGTTTTTATTTCTCCCCCTTTGCTGTATCTCACTTTCTAACTCTTATTTCGTAACCATAATACTATAATCTCTAATTCCTTCTGTTTGCTCATAGTTCAAATCCTACTCACAAAGGCTTCCTTTCTTCCACAAAGCAATCACCGTTAAAGTAAAGGTAAAGGGACCCCTGACCATTAGGTCCAGTCGTGACTGACTCTGGGGTTGCGGCACTCATCTCGCTTTACTGGCTGAGGGAGCCGGTGTACAGCTTCTGGGTCATGTGGCCAGCATGACTAAGCTGCTTCTGGAGCGGTACCTATTTATCTACTTGCACTTTGACATGCTTTCGAACTGCTAGGTTGGCAGGAGCAGGGACTGAGCAACGGGAGCTCACCCCGTGGCGGGGATTCGAACCGCCGACCTTCTGATTGGCAAGTCCTGTCAGCTTTGCAAATTCTGCAAAGTTCATGTTATGTACTGAAGTTCTCACCCTTGGCCAGCAGGGGGATACTGTAGATAGTTTTCACTCAGGTCCACATATGCAAATAAGGGATTGAAAGTGATGTTCAGAAATTGGATAGTTACCGAAAGCTGTTACAGTTGCGTGGTACTGGAGCTCTATATATCCATTTTTCTGTGGGGGGGGGGATTTCTTTTTCCTTCCACTTCTCTGTGTAAAGAATCCTAGCTGCTGTTGTTACATACAGTCATACTTCTTGTTACATTCGGTTCAGGTTATGTCTTTTCAGGTTGCATCCCGCGGCGACCCGGAAGTACCGGAAAGGGTTACTTCTGGGTTTTGCCGCTCGTGCATGCGCAGATGCGCAGAACTGGCGAATCGAGACCCGCGTGTGCGCAGACGCGGGTTGCGTTCCTTTCAGGTTACAAATGGCGCTTCGGAACAGATCCCGTTCGCAACTAGAGGTACCACTGTATGTATTTGCTTGTTCTTTATATAGTCATCTTAGGAGAAGATTTCTTTGCATGCATTCTGTAGTCACTTGTAGTCAATTCCACATTGCATATGTTTTCTCCTTTAAGGCAATCAATTGCAAAATTTGCTCTACTAGTTACAAAAACCCAGGCTCGACATATATAAGTCAAGGAGGCACCTTGTATTTCTGGTCATCTTATTTGCTATTCACCATCTTAGTCACCTGCATGTCTGAGTATTTTAAAATCCCTATTAATCTTTTTTATTGCTTTCCTTTTTAACTTTCAAGGAGCAGGTGGGTGGGAGAGAAATTTGCTTTGCATTTCAAAGTGAACCCACCTAATTTTCACTTTCTGAAACATGCAAACCAAAACACAGCCATCCTCTGAAATTTGCACTTCTTTAAATTTTGCAATGTAACTCTCCAACCAGGTAACATATATAAAAATGCATATACTAGGGGAAAATGTGCATATAAATGCATATATTAGTGAAAATAACATACAAAAATGCATTATACAAGGGAAAATTGTAATTAGAACCTTTAAGTGGTTTACACAAAACCCCAAAACATTAATGTTGTAATAAAAAGCAGCAGCTGAAAACAGGCAAAAATTCAAAAACCAATAATTAAGCTAACAGATTAAAACACATGCTAACTTCTACAAGTCTAGATAGGCTTATCTGTTTTATTTAGGAATAAAATACCATAATTATGGGTTGCAAACATTTGTGGGCCCTTCAACATTTTTCTGGTGAAAATAGGGCATCCTACCAAACCCTCCAATATTTCTCCACTGAAAATAGGGATGTCCTAAGGAAAAGCAGGACATTCCAGGATCAAATCAGAAACTGGGACAGCTTCTGTAGATCTGGGACTGTCCCTGGAGGGTCTGCATACTGAATTTTGAGAAAGCGATGTGGGCACCAGGCAGAAAATGGCTGCTGTAGCACAAGATGGCTGCTGTATGGTGCGTGTAACAAAATACAACATAGCAGGAAATGGGACAGGAGCACTATATGGTGCAGACACGACTCCCGGTCCGTCCCCCCCTCAATTAAAGGGAATAAAGACACCTATATCAGACACTGCCAAGCTCAGTCACAGAGAGAAACTGGTCTTCAGAAAGGAAAAGTGAATGGGTGGTCACTTTTGTCTTCCAATGAAATTGGGTATGTTTCAGGGAGCATGTTCAATGCAAGAGACTCAGCTAGTACAAACAGGAAGAGTGCAGAAAGAGCAAACAGTCTCTAATGCATTGTGGATTTCTGAATTGATGTTTACTGAGATCTTTCACAGGTGCCATGGGGTGAACTGGTGGTCGTTCTCCTAGGCAGAACATTGCCAGCCCCTGAAGTACAGTGGTACCTCGCAAGACGAATGCCTCGCAAGACGAAAAACTCGCAAGATGAAAGAGTTTTTCGTTTTTTGAGTTGCTTCGCAAGATGAATTTCCCTATGGGCTTGCTTCGCAAGACGGAAACGTCTTGCAAGTTAGTTTCCTTTTTCTTAAAACCGTTAATACCCAGGGTGCATTGCTTGAACAGGTGCAGTTGCGACTTGACTTCTAGGAGCAACTCATAGCACCGTGCTTCGCAAGACGAAAAATTCGCAAGACGAAAAAGCTCGCAGAATGAATTAATTTCGTCTTGCGAGGCACCACTGTAAATAAATAGCATTCAGACCCAGCTATTTCCTCCTCATTTGATCTCAGAGCTGCTTAGCATGTTTTTCTAAACCTGTAAAAAGTTTTCATGGTCAGAGATGGAGGTTTTCCCCACTGAGCTGAAGATTTGATTAACCTAAGTAAGATTTTATGTGGTATTAAATTAAAATCCTAGTGAGTTTTTAATACCCAATCTAGAAATTCTCTCTAGAGAGGGTTGAAGAATCTGATTACGTTACACATAAAAGGAGTTTATCACCCTGCTAGTGAAATCATATTATGTTATTCTATCATTAGGGTGCAAATGAAGTGTCCTGTGCAAGTGGCCACAAGGTCAGGATGATTTAAGAACCTAAACCTTGCTGTGTGTTTGACAGCAGAAGGCAAATGAGTGGTGAAACTGAACTTAAGCAAGGGCCAATTGAAGGAAGCAAATTCTATGTAGAATCGTTGGGGAGGTGGGTAGAGAAGAAGTATTAATGCAGTAGGAAAACAGGACACATCATGTGATAGGCTGGGGGAAGAGAACATGGTCAACTTCATGATAAATAAGGGAGGAGTTAAAAATCAGAGGATATGGCCCCCCCAAAAAATATTTTTTATGTGTAGGGGGAGAGAAAGGGAAAGCAGTAGGGATGGGGAGAAATTCAACTGGGGACACATTTAAAGGTAAAGGTAAAGGGACCCCTGACCATTAGGTCCAGTCATGGCCAACTCTGGGGTTGCGGCGCTCATCTCCCTTTATTGGCCGAGGGAGCCGGTGTACAGCTTCTGGGTCATGTGGCCAGCATGACTAAGCCACTTCTGGAGAACCAGAGCAGCGCACGGAAACGCCGTTTACCTTCCCACTGGAGCGGTACCTATTTACCTACTAGCACTTTGACATGCTTTCGAGCTGCTAGGTTGGCAGGAGCAGGGACCAGGCAACAGGAGCTCACCTCGTCACAGGGATTCGAACCGCCGACCTTCTGATGGGCAAGTCCTAGGTTCTGTGGTTTAACCCACATCGCCACCCACGTCCCCATTTAAAGGTTCACATTTAAAGGTGAACCTACCTAATTCACACTTTCCAAAAGAATGCATTAACCACAACACAGTCACCCCTTAAAATTTGTACTTCTCCAAATTTTGCAGCCCAAAAATGAACATGCAGTCATACCTCGGAAGTCGAACGGAATCCATTCTGGAAGTCCGTTTGACTTCCAAAACGTTCAGGAACCAAGGCGTGGCTTCCAATCGGAATCCATGGTGGACGTTCAGGTTCCAAAGAACATTCACAAA